AACAGCTGCTCTGAGGTAATTTCCTCTGTTTCTGAGAGCATACTTTACTGGATGCTCTCCCTTTCCAGCAATTTGTTACAACAACCAGAAATACACACAGTTTCAGAATGAGTTTTTAAAAAGGTGATCTGGAAGAAAATCAACAGAAAAACAACCGATTCAAGGAGTTCTTTGAACCTCAGGCCAGCTCAAAAAAGGGCTATTTGAATTTCTTATGTGAAGCTCCAACTCTTGGCTGATAGATGCACATGCAAAGTCTCACATTCCACAAACTTTATGAACTGCAGATGAAGAGATTCCATCTTTTTAACATCACTCTCTTCAACTCTTGGGTACTGGATGCAAGCTGAGAGCTGCTTTGGAGAAGGAGTGCTTAATAAACACAAAGTTACTCCACAAACTACAGGCACTTGAAGGATTAACTGTGTATATCACTACTGAAGGGCAACACAAGGAAAGCCAAAGTTAGCTGGGAATCCACAAAGCAACAAAAGGAAAAGAGGACACTCACCATTAATCTGCTGGGAGGAGATTTTCTCCTCACTTATTTTGTCGTGGCTGCTAAGGAAGACAGGCATGTCTCTGTCTGCTAAGAGATTATCCAGAGCACTGGCTTCATGCTGGGTACGTGCTGTGTATGCTTCCTTGGGCATCTGCACCATGAGATTTGGGAGTGTTTGATCCAGGGGATCCTCCTCGGAGATGTAGGCGTAGGGACAGTACTCTCGGCTCCGGGTGTAGATGTTTGCGTTGTCGTAACAGTCTGAGCAGATCACTAGTGGGGCTGCCCCACCTGATAAACATAATGGAAAAGCAGAATAGTCTCAGAAAGGATGAGGGTGCCTGATTTCCATGGATTTTACATCCTGGTGTGATCCTGTCTTACAGCAGCATTGTTTGAAAGGCCTTTACACAGTACTTGGCTTGAGAAATCAAACTCCCCATGTTCCCCTCACCCAAATTCTTCACAGCACTACCCTTCTGAGGCTGACCAGGGATAACCATGGACATGCTCTCCTGTTTTAAGGGCTCCATACAGGTCCAGCCAGCTAGGGAACCAGGCTGAAACAGCCCTGGAATCAAACTGGGAATACCTGTCCACATCTGCTCTTGGACCTGACTTGGTCCTGCAAGCCAACACACCTCAGAGCTGATGATAAAGTGGTCACTGAGCTGAGCTGCTTCTCAACTCCTTCCTGATTGACTCCTTCCTTTTTTTACAGACAGAGTGCTCAGGCATTGGAATGTGCTGCCCAGGGAGGTGGTGGATTCACCATCCCTGGAGGTTTTCAAGCTGAGACTGGATGTGGCACCGTGGTCTAGTGACCAGTAGGGTTTGACTCGATGATCTTAGAGGTCTCTTCCAACCAAGTTGATTCTATGATACTCTAGTGCAGTGGGACTAGACTAGAGGAAATGGATCATGGGACAGGTGTGAAAAACTTGCACTGAGGGATCACTTTTCAAGGCAGCCTACATAAGGACTGATGGCTCCTCAGCATTTGGATGGCAAAAAATAGCATCTCTGTAGACTGAATGACACTCCTGAAAAGTGTCCAAACAAGATAGGAAATAGCACAGACACCTTATGTCTGGCTGAGGTAGGAATTTCATGCCAAGGACAAGAGGTACAGCAAGTCGTCTTCCAAGCAAACTCTATTTCCACCTCTTCTGGGGAGACATTGGAACAGGTTCCCCAGGGATGTGGTGGCTGCCCCAACCCTGGTGGTGTTCATTCCAGGCTGGATGAGCCTTGAGCAGCCTGATCTAGTGAGGAGGTGTCTCTGCCCAGGGCAGGGGTTGGGACTAGATGAGCTGTAAGGTCCATTCCAACCCTTAAATTCTATGATTCTATGATTCTGCCTGGGCTCTTGAGATGCCAAAGGAAAGAAATAGGCTAAAAATCTGCCTTGACACTTCACCTGTGCTGGCACAGGTACCACACCTGAGGGTTTTGCTTACCATCTGTGCCTTTGTGCACGAAGCTGCCAGCTGGAGGCATCAGCTGCTGATGGCTCCCTGCCTCCGAGTTGCTGTAGCCTTCCTGAGGCTCTGACAGTGTTCCTTGGGAGGACAGATAGCTGGGAATGTCAGCAGGTAGGTTCATCTCCTCTGCAAGGCAAAATTAACACTCATGACACTAACAGCATGAAGATTTCGAGGTTTTCCCAACACTATTCTCCACATTCACAAGAACATCCAGAATTTCACCTCCTAGGTATCTTTTTTTCCTACCTAGTTATCTTTTTTTTTTCCCTGCATCAATGATTAAAAATCTGCATAGCCAGTTCCAAGCTTACAGGCTCAGGATGGAAATTTACCCACATTATTTCAGGTCCTGAAAATATTTCTAAGTTTATTCAAATATTTATTTCCAAACTTTACTGGTTTGCCCTCAATGTAGGACAAACCTAGTGTATAAGGAATAGAATTAGCACACTTCTGATATTTAAAAGAACCTCTAAAATGAAGGAATTTGAGCAAATCCCTGAAGGGATTTTCGAAAGAAATCTTCAGTTCTTTAATCTTATCCATCTGTAATGAATCCAGAAATTTCAAGTGTTTTGGATTAAAAACTGGGCCAAAGACTGTTGCTTTTGTACTTTACCTGTGTTGGTGATGCTGTAATCCTCACTCTTCCTCCTCATGTGGTAGATGACAATAACCCACACCAGGGACGTCCCCACCACGCAGCACACCACGACGATGATCACGATCCCCACTGTGGTCCAGCCATCCTCCTCGTGGGCAATGCCACTCTGGGAAGAATCACAGTTGGGGGATGCCAGGACATTCAGGTAAATATGGCCACGCTCTGTGCCCAGGGTGTTGGACATGATGCAGGTGTACTTCCCAGCATCCTCCAGCCCAGCGTCCACGATGATGAGGAGCTGATTAGCCGCGGCGAAGAAGTGTCGCTCGGTGACGGTCAGAGGACCATCATCCTTGGTCCAGTTGAGGCGAGGGGCAGGGCTGCCACCAGCTATGCACTGCAGGACAGCAGTTTCACCACGGGTCACTGTCCTGTCTTCCAGAGGCCTCACGAAGGAGGGAGTTTCTGGGAGAGTGGAGGAAAAAAATTGTAAGATAACTTCATAGAAACATGGGATGATTTGGGTTGGAAGGATCTTAAAGGTCATCTCATCCCACCCCCTGCCATGGGTAGAAACATCTTCCACCAGCCCAGGTTGCTGCAAGCCCCATCCAACCTGGCCTGGAACACTCCTAGGGATGGAGCAGCCACAGCTTCTCTGGGCAACCTGTGCCAGTGTCTCAGCACCTCACAGGGAAGAATTTCTTCCTAACATATACTCTAAACCTGCTCTCTGTCAGTTTGCCCCATCTGCCTTGATCAAATCTCCACTGGGCAGCACTGCAGCTCAGCTTCTAAAGCTTCACTGTTCAGAAATCACATCAACTGCTGCTCTGTGTTTTACCTTCATTCTCTAAGATTTCAGCTGGCTGCTTACAGCTAAGCTACATGACCACTACAGATGTGCAGGGATCCACCTGCCAGCACAGACCAGCACAGACCAGCACAGACCAGCACAGTCCAGCACAGACCAGCACAGACCAGCACAGCACTCACCCAACACAGTCAGGGTGGCGTTGGCTGAGAGTCCCCCCGCGATGTTCTGGGCCATGCAGCTATAGATGCCCATGTCTTCCATCTTCACGTTTGCAATGAAGAACACATCATCCTCAGGCATGACATGCATCCTCCTCTCTCTTGCAGCAGGGAAGTCTGTGCCACCATCTTTCTGCCAGGAGATCTGTGGGGTGGGGTGGCCCTCAGCAGCACACTCCAGCCTGGCCATGGCCCCGGTGCGGATGGTGAGATCCATGGGGGTTTTCAGGAAAGAAGGGAGCTCTGGAGCAAAGGAGACATCGATTCAGCATTGTCAGGACCAGGTAAAAAAAACAGCAAAAGCTCCACAGCAGAGAGAAAGTATCAAAACAAACATATTTGAAACGTAGCTGAAGTTGTCCCTAAGAGAGAGGCAGATTCTCCCCCAAGAACTGCTCAGATTTCCAGTGGTCATTTCTAAGAGTTGTCCTCCAGATTTAAATACACTACTTGCAGTGTTCATAGAATCCTGGAATGGTTTGGGATGGAAGGACCATCCAGGTCCCAACCCCTGCCCATGGGCAGGGACACCTTCCACTAGCCCAGGTTGCTCCAAGCCCTGTCCAACCTGGCCTGGAACACTCCCAGGCATGGAGCAACCACAGCTTTTCTGGGCAACCTGTGCCAGTGTCTCAGCACCCTCACAGGAGGAATTGCTTCCTAATATTCAACATAAACCTACTCTCTTTCAGTTTAAAGCCATTCAGTTTATTTAAGATGATGCAAAGAACAACATTTCTCATGGAAAGAAGACAGGGAAAAGGTTTAGTCTTCTTCCTAAGCCCTTTGTCACACTTCTTCCCTGGTAACAGGGAAGATGAACTTCCATCTCATCATCTCTGCTCTCAGATGCCATGGATGAGTGGTGTGCTGACTGATGTGAACATTGTCTTCTTGCCTCCCTTCCCTCAAGCCAAAATAAACAGAATCACGACAGTTCAAACCCAAACTATTTCATACTTGACTTTTCAGAGTTTGTTCCCAGTCCTAGTAGTTATTTTTAGGGGCATCTTCCCCAGCTTCACACACATGTGAGAAAGGTGCTGAGTTCTGAAGAGACACCAGAGGGAGCTTTCAGTTTAAAGAATTCCACCTCCATTTAACGGGTGAACAACTAATTGTGTTCTAATGAAAGCCTGGGAGATAACTGCCCCTTTGGAAAAGTGAACAGAGGCTTTTCACCCATAAAAAACCCCACATCACTTCTCTCTCGCTTTATAAAAAGATGTTTGATATTTCTAAACACCAGTGAGACAGACTTGCAAGACTATTTTAGGCCAGCTCTAGTGAAAAGTAGCCTTGTAGTCACTCAAATAAAGCTTTAGTGTTTGTCCTTTGTTAGCACTGTCACTTACCATTGACAGTCAGCTTGGCTTTGTTGGAATAGTTGGAGCCGAAGTGATTGGTGACAATGCACTGATACTTCCCTTCATCAGTGAAGTTGACATTGAAGAGGTGCAGCACAGTGGTGTATTCCAGCACCTCAGCACTCTGCTGCTGGTACCTGGCAAAGTTCTCCACCTCTGCATCATACAGGACTTCGCTGTCCTTGCGCCAGGCTGTGGACATGGGAGAGTCACTGCTGCTCACTGCAGTGCACCTCAGGGTCACGTTCATGCCTCGCAGAGCCACTGTGGTCTCTGGGTGCACTCTGATCTGTGGTTTTGGGAAGTTGTCTGAAAAGAAAACCACCAGAATTAGCTACTTTCCTTTTCAACTTCCAATTAACATCACGAGAAAACTCACTCGAAATACCCCAAAGTAAACTTGGGGAGCAGATGTTCTGCTTGAGGGGCACAAATTCAGCTGTTTTCAGCTGGGAATCAAGCTGTGAAGGAGGATGAGAAGCATAGGTAGGCAGAAAAATCAGCATGGGAAACAATCAGCACAGAAGTGCAGTGCTGAGCAGCTCCTGCCTTTGGTCCAACTAGAACTTGCTCTATTTAAATCACACCCAACAGTCCTGCTCAGCTGAAGAGCTATTCCCATTCCACAAAGCACTGAGACTTTCAGATAGTTTTAAATACCCTGAAGAGCCTTGAAGTTCTACAAGTACAAAGCACAGCAAGGTGGCAGTTCACTATCTCATCCCACTCGATGAGAGTGACTTCAGTACCCATTATTTCAGCAAAGACACTCTGGCAGGCACACACAGAGCAGTGTCAGGCCCCACAGTGCTGATAGGAGGTGGAGAAGAGGGTGATTGCTCCTACAGGAGGATTAGTGTGGCCTTTACCACCAAAGCAATGAAAGAATTGCCTGTAGGTAAGTAACTCTGATCAGACTGGTCACATGGAAAAGGGAACACCAGAGTATTTCCAGACCTGTCACAAACTTCACCCAGGACTCTGGGCAAAGTTTTCCATCTCACAGTTCAGTTACAACCATAAACAGGTTTATGTCCAAAATTGTGGTGGTAGAGACCAGATAAACATTGCATATATGGAGCATCAGAGTGCAGAGAGTCTGAACTACCCTAACTATTGTTAGTTAGTCTGAACTACTCTAACTACTTCTCTGGTGTCCAGAGAAGCTGTGGCTGCTCCATCCCTGGGAGTGTTGCAGGCCAAGTTGGATAGGGCTTGGAGCAACCTGGGCTGGTGGAAGGTGTCCCTGCCCATGGCAGGGGTTGGAACTGGATAATCTTTAAGGTCACTTCCAACCCAAACCATTCCATGATTCTATGATACTCTAGCCTTGCTGCTATGGACAAGAACCAGTAAGGAAGTGTCAAACAGCCCTCCCAAAGCTAAGCAGGGAGAATGGAAGCATAACTGGATTTTACCAGTAACCTAAATGAAAACCAATTCAGTCTCACACAATTAGTCCCTCAGGTTAGCTTCAGTGCTCAAACACCACAAATCAGAGCAAAGAGAAACAGAATTAAACCCCAAACTCCACAGCAGACTCAGAGATGCCTTGTGTGCATCATGGCCCAGACCAAGTCCCTCCAGCAGTGCCTGATTTCATCAGGTACCTGCACAGACATGTGTTACCACCTTGTTATATCAAAAGTCATTCAAAATACAAACCACAGACGAAGTCATCGGGGTCCACACTGAGGAGGCTTTGTCCTGCTAACCACTCAGGGTGAGCACAGCTAACATTTACAGCCTGCTGCAAGTAGCTCTCAGTGAGCCACTGGGGCAGCCACTTCAACTGGCAGTCACAGAGCAAACTGCTGGTGTTCAAAATCCTGCAGAAAGGAGGCAAAACAAAAGGGTGATTCGTTTATTTCACATTCCTGCATGTGATTTCGTGCAGCAAAACAACTTAATCCATGCAGAAACCTCCAGATTTTCAGGATTCTTTTACACCTATGGGTATTTATTATAAAATCTTAGCTATTTGTGCTAGAAACAATCTATGTTGGTGCTAAAAACTTCTATTTCACTTGGATTCTGGAGCTTATAACCTTGGATATTCAACTTGTTCAAAAAAGCAAAACACGAAGCCTATGTTTACAATTAGCTCATCCCTCTTTAAAGCAATTAAAAGGAACACAACCCTGCAGAGCAGCTCCATGTCTCAAACTAAACACACCTGCCCTTATGAAACGAGTAGAAGCCTCTACTCATGACATTACTCAATGCTCAATACATTTTCATGCCAGCTGATAAATATTTAAGACTGAAAGTGATTTGCTCCATACAGGTATAAACTACAGATCAGTTTTCCCTGCTCCACAGAAGAACTGCCAACAGGAAACAATAATGGGTCACTTTTTCCCCCACCATCTGCTTGCAGAGGTTCCTAAATAGTATCTCTGAGGATGACAGACTGGAGATAGTCCAGCAGTTAAGAAGTGATCTGCTCTGAATCCCTCAGTGGGAGAGGAGAGGCACCAAACAAGCCAGGATTCCACCACCCTGCTCTTTGCCTGTGATTCCTCACTTCTAAGGTACATTAGAGAAGGGAAAAAAAGTCTGTAACACCTAAAATGTGCCTCCTCACACTGGCAGATCTTGCAGACTATGTCCATCTGGCCAAGGTTAACTAATGCACTAAGTTTTAGAGCAGATTACACGATATTCAGAGACTTTATCTCACAGAAAGGAGTGTGTTACAGCAGGATTAGTCTCGGGTGTGAAGGTCACTTCACATTAGAATACTTCCAATGTCTGAAGAACACGAGAGGCTGCAGCAGCTTAAGCATCTGCTGAGCATGTAAAAATTCTTGTCTAGTTGTCAATTTTAAAGCCTTTCCCTAGCCCTAAAAATAGGAAGACAAAAAGTAGGGTTTGTTAACCCCCACTGAAAGATTCCTGATGAATTGTTTCCTTTGTTCACTGCCCACATGCAGTGAGTGCTGAGCTGGCTGCAAAACCATAAGATAAGGAAAACTTAATGGTTCAACACTACAGGAAAAAAAATGTCTCCTATTAACTGCAACTAAGAAAATGAAGGTGCAGGTGTTATCAATCCTTAAATCTAAATACACTGTGGCTGTGCAAATAATGGTGATGAACTTACAGCTCCTTCAGCTGAGTCTGGGCAAAGGCATTTTCCTGGATGGACATTACTGCATTGTTGCTCAAATCTCTGTAAGCAAAGAGCACAATAAAGGGTCAGGGTGATTTCATATATTGCCTTCAGTTAAATTCCTGGAAAATGGACAGAGAGAACAAGACTGAAGCTGACAAATAATTAGAAGTTCTATCAAGTAAAGTACTTACAGGTGTTCAAGTCCTTCGAGACCAGAGAATGCCTTTTTGGTAATTGACTTAATCTGGTTTCCTTGCAAGATTCTGAAAAACAAAGCCCCAGAAACCAGTCTTGAGTGTCAGAGTTCACAAAAAATGAAGTTTTTTTCTAATTCTATCTGAGCTAGAAGGTTAAATATTACTTTTTTTTAGCTTACAGGCTCAATTAATTTTCCCAAGAAGAGTTTCTTAACTTAGAGATTTGGATTATAGCTGTGCCAGAAGATAATTTAAGTCAGCAGAATGACACAGTGGCAAATAAAACTTGGGAGTGGAGCACTAACTTCCTAACACCAATGTGCCACAATCACACCAGTTCACAACCAGTGTCTGTAGCTCCATGGGATGGAGCTTCCTCCAAAGCACATGGCACTGGATGAAAGGTGCATAGTCTAAGAACTGAAAAGCTGTGAATTCAACAGGGTTCCATATTTGCTCAAAAATACTTTGAGTTTTGGGGTTATTTTTGTGATAGGCAGTAACTTTTACCCAAACTGAAGCAGCACAAAAAATCATCACAGAGAGAGAGTGAGCTATGAAACAGCAAATGCAGCCAAGTAGTTGAACTTCATGTCTTCCAGTTGGTCCTGCAAGGTGATCCAGTGCTCCAGATCCAATGTTCTGAACATGGAACCCAAACTTCTGCCAAGAGGTTGTGGCACACGAGTGGGAACCCAGTGAGAACAGCTGCCACTAGAAAGGCTTTCTGCCTCTTGTCATTGATTAACAATTACTTAATGTTTTGCATTCTCCCTCTCCTCTGCCTGCCTGGGAAGTGCTGTCATTCCCAGGGTTTGTAATACATACAGCTTATCCAGCCTGCTGAGTCCCACAAATGCTTCATTTGCATCTTCTATGGCCCAGGAGATCTCGTTGTTCCGCAAGTCCCTGCAGGAGAAGAACTTTCTGAGAAAGAAGTCTTGGAACATCATCATGCTCATGGCTAGTGGTGAGCTGGGGAAGAGACCTGACTGCTGCAGGGCCAGGCACAGTGTCACCTGCAAGGTCTCAACCAGGTACAGTTTTTACCAGGAAGACCTCAAATCTTCCCTAAAACTAAGCTTGTCAGGAGATGAATCTCTCCCTCCAGAGCTGTAAGGGAAAACTGTTCATGCTCATTGCTGCAGCCAGAACCACAAACAAATTCTGCAGCACAACTTCTTGATGTGGTATTTAAGGAAAGACCCGGTCTGACCAGCACTTGTCATGTGAGGGACTGTTTGCCAGGAGCTGGGAGAGGCTCCTGAAGCAAGTTAGTTCATGTAAGTGAATTAAGCAATACACCAGCAGCATTAATCTTCCCCAGTAACAGGCTTACACCAGCATTAGCATATTAAGAGATTACACACAGGTTACAGTGCAGTCCTGCCAGGCACACAGTGGTAGATTTTTCCCAATGAAGTTGGTATTCTGCTCACAAATCTCGTTATCAGCTAATGGGATTTCTCATTGACCTCTGCACAGCACTTCAGCCCCTTATGGAGAAGAGAGGTCTAAACAGCAAAAGCAATAGAGCAATATGGTTTGGAGAGGATTAAATGCTTTTTAGAGAGAAGAAGGAATAAATTCAGTCACAGTTTTAGCCTGACTGGCATGGACTGAGCCAAGAGCATGTTCTGATACCACCATGCACAGAAGTCCCTGCAGACAGGAGTGTGCTTAAAGGAAATTCCATGGATACAAATCAGTCAGTTCTGTGTTTTACCAGATATTATAAGCAACAGTTTGATGGAGCTTCCAAAACAGAAGCAGCTACATGCACAGGCAACTGTCTACATCACTCAAACACTTCTTTCCATGTGGTAATGGTGGAAAAGTGAAGCATCTCCTTCCTTGGATGAGACTAAATTGTGTAGAACACCATCCTGGAAAAGACTGGGATCAACCTCCAGGACACCATCAATGGGAACATTATTTTCTTAACCTTCTTATTTTGAAACATGGGAGTCTTGTTCTTCACACCAGCTAACAGTAATCTCCACAATTAATACATATACACACTTCAAATTTGAGGACAAAAAGAAAGGAATTCCATGTTTCATGCATCACAAGTTCTGAACAAATATGGCCTTGATACTTGCTCATATTAAGTGTTTTCCTCTTTAAAAATTATTCAAGCTAAAGTCCTTGACATGGATGTGATCTAATGAGATGAATAATATGCCAAAATTTATTTCCAAGTTACTAATCCTTGCAATTTAAAACTTGCTTCTAGAATTTTCTCCAGGTCTGCTGCAGAATTTTAGACTGGGAATGCTGGAGAATATAAATGCCAAACTACTCACAGCATGAGGAAGTAAATAATGTGCTAAGATGTAAAACTTCAGGGCTATTCTTAGCTACATCTTGAATCCTACTTTGCTCTTATTATCTTGCAACCAATATCAGCTTTACAGTTTATTTCCCAACACTGCAGAGTGGCAGGAGCTGAACACACAGAAATATTTACATCAGCCTTCTCACTGAACCAACCAACACAACTAATCCCACAGCTACACAGTATCTCTTGCTGTTTGAAGTATTTTTACACTCCACTACTCAGACCACTTAGCAAAACGAGTGAGCAACCCAAAAGAAAAGCCCCTCATTGTGTGAGCTGAGGAGTTGGCTCCTCATGCCTGGCTGGGCACGAATGCTTGGAGCCTTGTTAATCACCAGTGCCCTCCTGTCCTGCACATTCCAGCCCCAAAGCAAAGGACCAACCCCTTGGCTGCTGACACCCCTGAGAGCCCAGGAAAACCTACTAATTAATCTACTCTTGGTCTTTTTTTTTGTCTTTTTTTTTTTTTTTCATGCTACTCTAAATCTAAGAAATTAGGTTTAATTATTTCATTAAAAGGTTGCATTAAGGTTAACAGAATATGACTGCTTACATAAATCTCTCCGGTGAGTTTGCTTATTTAAGCATTTATTTAATGAAGTGACAGAGGGGTTATAAACTTTCACTCCTTTCTCAAGTACCATTGTTTAGGATAATTACAACTGTTCAGATCTACTTGGGACAGGATTGGGGCTTTTCAGAAATATCCAACAGCTGCAGCTGCTAGGAAAGGTCTTGGCAAGTGCAGAGCTGTGTCCCTGACAGCAAGAGGCAACCCCACACCCCCTTGTAAGGCCTGTGGCTTCAGCACACAGGCAGGGTGGGCTAAACCACACCTTCTGCAACACAAAAGGCTTCACTACTTGGGTTCTGAGGTCCCAAGCCTAACAAAACCCTCTGGAATAAAGAGGTCCAGGCTGTTTGCTCCATACCTCTCAACACCGGTAGGATATGCATCTTGGGCACTCAAGGTCACCAAGTCAGTGTTTCTTAACACCACTAAAATGGAGTGGTTGGTTTGTTTTAGTTGGGCTGGAACTCTGTTATCTTGGCAAACCAAAAGATTATCAGCCCCACCACACCTGCAGGCAGGACAGCACCCAACAATGATCTCAGGCTTCCACTCAGTGCAATATCCATTGTCTTTATTTCCAAAAGCTTCACTGCCTGAAACTGCAGTGCCAATGAGAAGTTTTGTGTACTTACAAGGTTTGAAGATTTGTCAGCCCTCTGAAGACACCATCAGCAATGTGACTAATGCGATTGTCACCCAGGTTCAGTTTCTCCAACAAGCCAAGTCCCACAAAAGCAGATTCCTTGAGGCGAGTGAGCTGGTTGTAGGACAAGTCTCTGGAAACATGGAACATGCACTTTAAAGGCAAGCAGGGGGGATTAATTATGAAGATGCTATCTCACTTGATTAACTATTGTGCTGTGATTAATTTCTCTAGCAGAACACATCGAAGTGAAACACACAGCATTACCATGGGCCTAAGGAGGAAATGGAGCACTTCCTTTGGTAATTCATTCTGGCCAATCTGTTACTGCAACATTCCAAAATCCCCAATGAAAAGCAGCCCAGGACTTACAGCTCAGCAAGTCTTTGGCAGAACTCCCATGCATCTGGGCTGATCCTGGTGATGGCATTTTGGCTCACATAGAGTTGCTGCAATGTCCTCAGTCCATACAGCCAACCCTTGTTTACTTCTGTTAAGTTATTATGTTCCAGTTCTCTAAGGAATTAGAAGGAAAAACATTTGTCGAGGAGATAATCAATGAAACGTCTATTTACAAAATTTCCACCTTGTGGATCTCAAAATGACTTAGTGACATTAATCCTTAGCCAACACAACATGAACAATTGTGTTCAGCCCATTGAAACCACAAGAGAAGGTAAGTGTATGAAGAAGTGTGTAACTCAACACCAGCTGAAGTGATCCAGGGGCAGAAGTAAAACTAGTCTCTACTCTCTAAGATTACTTCTACTTTAGAAGTCTTTTGCTAACACAGCATGGCACACCCTGGTGCTTGCTCTGCCCCTCACACAGCACAGAACTGTCCCATGGTATGAGGACTGCAAACAAAAAACCAGCAAAAAGCAACACAGAGTCAAAGTTTTTGATCACCAAGTGGGAAGATGTTGGGGAGAGCACCAATATCATGGAATCACTGAATGGTCTGGGTTAAAAGGGATTTTAAAGACACTTCCACCCCCCTGCCAGGGGCAGGGACACCTTCCACTGCATCAGGTTGCTCAGAGCCCCATCCAGCCTGGTCTTGAACACTTTCAGGGCTGGGGAATTGTATCTTTCCAGCCCTGAAGTAACCACTCATGATATCAAAAAAATGGAAAATACTCCTTTCCTGTGGTGCTCATTGATATCTCAGCATGGCCTTGCTGCAAGAGAAACCATACAGGACCCAACCCTCCACACTCAGAGCCTCTAAAAGAAATTCCACAACAAGGCATACTCACAATTCCTCTATATTACCCAGGCCAAAGAAAGCTCCATCCATTAGTTTGCTAATCCCATTGCGCTGCATTTTCAAGGATTTTAAGGATTCCAGTCCTTGGAATGTAAGACTTTCCACTACTTTAATCCGGTTCCTTTTCAGTTCCCTTTTATAAAGACGACAAACAAATGTTAAGACACCTTTCAGTAAGCACTTTGTGAAAGTCAAGGACCTGCTGAGGTGAACAAAGAGCTGTAAACGTTGTGGTTTTCCCCTCTCAAACTGTTACTTACAGAAACTGCACGTGAGGCAACTTGAAGATCTTTGGTGGAATCACACTAATCCTATTCCTGTTGAGCTTTACCACCATCAGTGAGCTAGATAAATTATCAAGGCACCCTGCTTCTAGGGTAGTTATCCTGTTGTTACTCAGATTCCTAGGGAAGGAAGAGGGAAAGGCCTTTCAGGACATGGAGGATTTTAAGAACACAAGTACATCAGTATCTCAGAGCAAACACATTTCACAAGGACCTCAAGTTCTGACAGTCACAACAGTTCTGGGATACCAAATTAAATCCATTTTCCCAAAGGAGTCAGTGCAAGGAGCTGATTTTGACTATATGTCCATGCTTCAGTTAGACATGGTTAAGGCAATGCCCACAGTGATCTACTCCAACAGGGCAGAAACCATTCCCTGTCCCTGCTGGCTGATGTACACCTGCACTTTGACAACAGCAGTAATTGTTTTCCATGCTATTTGGGAAAATGCAAGATGGATTGATATAAAAAGTATTTGATTTCAAGCACATCTGTAGCTCCATTAAGCACTGGTACCAGTTCAAAGACATGCAAAACTCCCTACTTCAAGATAGCAACTTTAGAGTAGATTAGCTCTCCAACATTATCCCTGTAGTGCCAAGAATCCCAGACACAACAGATCACTTGTACTTACAGGTACTTGAGTTGCATCCGTGGAAAAGAAGAGGCTTTAATTTCGGAGATAAGATTAGAACTAAGATCTAGATTTTCCAATGAAAGGTAGAGCTGGAGCTGCTCAGCATTTATTTCTGGAATGGTATTGTGTACCCTGAAAGAGATCAGCAATAAATATGGTTATCAAAACATCTCATCCTTCCAGTTGCATGGCTGAAACAGCTAGAGGATTCTGTGTAATATCACAGTGAGCCTCCTGAACGGGACATGCACCACATGCTTCCAAAAGTGTTAACTCCTAGAGCAATCCTGCAAATCCAAGAGCTATTTGCCACCTTGACAGATGAAGAGATTCAAATTCTGAGGCTTGTAGCTGGGGCTGCTCCTTGTGGGAACTGTCATTGCCAGACTGAATCCCTCCCCTTCAAAGCTGCCTGCCTTGGTTGACTGCATTTTATTGGTAATTTAGGGTGACTTGATTGTCTAACTGATTTGTATTTCTTTAAAGAGTGCTTACATATTCCCTAAAGCCCTTCAGCTGAGCAGTATGGCAAGACAAAAGGAGATGTTTCCCTGCAATTGGAGAGCAGAACTCTAACATGATTCTCCCATTTGTTAAACAAGAAAAAGGCAGATGAGCTGTTACTTACAATGAGAGAAGAGTTATATTGGAAGTTGTTTCTCCAAAATATGGGATTTCACTTAGCTCGTTGTAATTCATTTTCCTTAAAGAGAGAGAAAAAAAAAGATTACTTCAAAGGGTAGAAAAACTCTTCTGCACGCAGCAGAAATAATTCATATCATAACACATTGCATTTGTTACATTAATAATACTTAGTAGCTGACAAAAAAAAAAAAAAGATTCCCTAAAAGCTTAAATGCTCATAATTTGAACAATTTAACAGTGTCATAAGTTAGCTTTGCCCATTTTCATGGATACCATTGCTTCTTTTTCATTTAAAATCAGCTACAGCCAAAACAAACACGTCTCATTTCTCTTTAAAAACAGTGGTTTGCTAATCTATTATGAAAAGGTTTTCTGCTCACAAAGCAGCAGTTTTATATATAAAATGTGCTGCCAACACAGAACATCCATTTTTAATTAGCTGGCACTGAGTATTTCTGCAAGTCAGACCAGATCTCACATGCAATGAAACATCCTAATTAGAACTAGGTAAGATATCTTTAGAGCTCATCCTCATAGCAACCAACTTACACTTCTTGTAGGGTATGAACAGACATATCAATGCTCCAGTTGGATGACAATAAATGATTATGACTCAAATCCCTAGAGAACAGAGAGAAAAGTTATTTAGCTCCTGGAATAAAATGAAACAAAACTAAAACATGTATACTTTGTGCAACCTAAAGTTTTAAACTTTACTTATGATACAGTTCCTCCTTTACCAAAGGAAAGAGCTTGTCCTACTGGTCACCCAAAATAAAGTCCAGATAGTTCTATTTCTCTGCTTGAATCAAATAACTTTTTGTTACAAAGGTTTCTTTAAAGGGAGCTCATACCTGACCAGAGCATTTTTCCTTTAACCCAGAGCTTCATAGACAACATTTGCCTATCACAAAAAGCACTGAGAACAGTTTCTTACAAAATGCCTCTGACTGAAGTGTTTTCTGCAGCTTGATCCCCATTTTCTCAGCTTTCCAAAGATGCTGACTAGCCAAGGCAGGCTTATTTTAGAGGAACACCATACACACAATTACCAAACAAGCTGGAGGGGAGGGAACCACAAGGCTGGGAAGCTTACAGCCAGATGCTTTAGTGCCAGTTGGTTCTGTTTATAGGAATCAAATGCAGGAGTTGGATTGTTTCAATAGGCAAGAGAGTCGTTAAATCTGGTTTTAATGCCCACACTGGATGTTGATGCTATTCCCATTGCTATCACTTTACACAGGCTTTTAGTTTTGCCTTAGACTTGGTGCATAAAATCTTGCAGGAAAATCCCAACAAACTGGTCCACTCAGAGTGTGTCTCTGAGCTAGGAAGATGGGGAAGGGTCTGGAAGGGCCACATGAGTAGCAGCTGAGGTGACTTGGCTTGTTCCAGCCTGGAAAAGAGACTGAGGGCAGAGCTCATTGGGATCTGCAGCACCAATCTCTGCTCTGTCTGAGCAGTGAAAGGGAATGGCATGAAGCTGTGTCAGGAGACGGTTAGGCTGGATAGTATGAACAAGTTCTTCCCCCAGAGGGTGGCTGAGCACTGGAACAGCTCCCCAGGGCAATGGTCACAGCCTCAAGCCTAACAGAGCTCAAGGAGCATTTGGACAACCCTCTCAGGCACATGATGGGATTTTGGGGCTGTCCTGTGCAGGGCCAAGAGCTGGACTGATGATCCTTGTGGGTCCCTTCCAGCTCAGGATCTTCTCTGATTCTATTCTCCTTGAGCTGTCAGACCACTCTTGATCTGTAATAGCAAAAGCTATTAGGAGAGAGCAATGACTTGACAGACTATCTCTTGTTAACCTCCACTCAGGTTCAGCATAAAGATACTGTTCTCGCAATGAATCATTAAAATCCTGTGTGTCACAGCAAGTCAGGTGGTTGTTAATGTATTCTTTTAATTACATCAGGATGCAAATTAGACAGATAGAGCAGCAAACAGGTTTGCAAACAACTATTCATTCCTACAATTAAAAGAGAAAGCATCAAGAGAACGTGGAGAAGAGAACAACTGCAGCCACTGAACTCTACACTGCAGCTCTGCTCCTCAGCACACACAGTAATTAAGCCAGTCCTAAATGCCAGGAACACACAAAAACAACTGTGCATGAACTGCCCCTTGAGCAGATTTCCCACCTCAGGGATGCTGAGTGCTCAGAGCATCCTCTGGGGCTGCCTGAATCACCCTGAGCCCAGCTAAGCCCCAGGCCCTGGGCACCCACAGGAGCCTGGCAGAGCCCACAGCAGCCACCAGCCAGGCTTGGTGGAGGGAATGCTGATCCCAAATCCCAGTGGTAGACTCTTTCCTGCATGTTTCAAACATGCAGGCACCCAGCCAGTGCTGAGGAGACTGATTTGGAGCAGTGGCTTTAACCAGACTGGGGAGTACTAAGCCACACTGTTTCCAAAGGACCTGAGCACAAGCCATGGAGGAAGGAGGAGACAATGGACACAGAAGATAACAACACACCCTTCGAGGTGCCCAGGTATTGCACTGATGAGCAAAACCATGCCATGGGTGCTGAGCCAGACCAACCTGTGCATCAGGCATGGCTGGAGGGCACTGACAAAGATCTCCAGAGTCAGATTAATACACAAAGAAAACTGAAACCTGAATTTTCTAAGGCTTTCAGGAAGAATAACATATAGTACTTTGGTTGAAGGGGATTTACACTGATCCTCTGCTCCACCTGCCTGACCACAAGTTAAAGGAAATTATCCAGGACACTGTCACATGCCTTTCAAACCCTGACAGCAATGGGGCCTGGGTCTTGAGGACCTCCTAACAGTCAGCTGTGTCTCCTCCAGCCTACTGTCTTACTACCAAGTTAGAAATTAAGATTGTATTTTAGAAAGCCCAGGAAAGTATTTTTCTATTATCATTCAAATTTGGACTACAACAAGGTCGGCATTACACTCAGTCCTCTTGCAAGAAGTTGGGTATAGTTCACACTTAAACCAGTTCTGACATTATCTATATCTGGTGTCTGTTATTGATGCTTTTCTTCTTCAAACAGACCAACTGATCACTAAATACAGAGTCAAATACATTGGCTGATTTCCTGTGTTTAGAGATTAATCAATCACACAGCTGAGATCCCGGCTATCCTGCAGAACCAGATGCAATTCCCTTGCTCTGGAAAAGCCAAACCCCATCGTTCCAGCAGCTCTTGCATTGTAACTGGAAGGCTCGAGCTGTGCAAATCCAGAGCAAACATGCAAAATTGTGTATTTCAGAGATTCATCTGGTATTGTATATAACATCATCTAAACATTCATTTTGAGCTGAAGTGGTATTCATCTCTTAAGTAAATACAGCAGAACACACACACCAGATTGATTACTGCAAGCTTATTCCTGGAGAATGATCTTAATTCAGCCCAGCTGACACACTGTGGCACTGTGCTGGCACAGGTGTTGAGGCAGCAACACAGACAGTCATACAAGCTCACCCAAATAACCTACCCTGAATGGAACTTGCTGAACTAATTAACTGATATCTAATCTACTTTTAATCATCATCTCCCTAGTTACCAGGATATATAAACACACTTACTGGTATAGGACTGGAGGCAGTGACCACCAGCATTGTGCTTCCCTCTGCCTCCACACATGATCACCCTACAAACATCTCTTGTCCTAAAGAGTCTAACATCAATTTGCAGATGTATAAAAATCTATCCTAACGTCCCAACTTCCTAACCCTTTTCATCACCCACTAGGATGGCCACAAAATATGTATAACTTCACAGGAAAAATGAAGTTACAGTTGCCCAGATACTTCCATCATGAAAACAAGTTCTAAAAGTGCTCTCCTAGCCATATTGAAAACAAAACCCCAAAATAAAACAAACCCTACAAACACTGGAAGCATCACCTGCAAGTAGTTTTAAAGAATTAGGAAAGAGAAGAATCCTTACTCCTCAAAGCCAGGTAAAATGGTATCACAGAACTAAGAGAGAAAAGGACATCAGGGACTTAATCATGCGAGGAAAAATTAGGCTTTGATTAGTTTTAAACAGCTGGTATGGATTAGAGCTCCTTTGGATTCAGAACTGCTAATGCAGTGCTAGTGAAGAAAAATGTCACCCACGCACTTTGTGTGCCAAAATCCTGAAAGCCACAACAGAGGATAGACACAGAATGGATTGAGTGCAGCCCTGAGAAGGACTATGGGGGTGTTGGTGGATGAGAAGCTCAACACGACCCAGAAATGTGCATCTGCAGCCCAGAGCCCTCTGTGTGCTGGGCTCATCCCACAGCGTGGGCAGCAGTGAGTGGGGATTCTGCCCCTCTGCCCCACTCAGCTGAGACACAGCTGCAGTGCTGCCTCCAGCTCTGGGACCCCAAGAGAAGCAGAACGTGGAGCTGCTGGAGTGAGTTCAGAGGAGGACACAGAGATGCTCTGAGAGCTGGAGGACCTCTGCCC